GGATGATTGCTGCCGTAGTTGAGGATCTGGTCCGTATGTCCGTTCAGCACCAGTCCATCGTACCCATGGGTACGATACGTAGACGACACCTTACTCATCCTCAAACGTTCCAAATTGGAGAAAACACACGAACTAATCAACAGTGTGTTCGATGGCATCCAATTCACCAGGGGGGTGGAAAACAACGAACATTTACCATTCTTAGACGTTCTCATACGACGGACTGGTGCTGAACGATTGGAAACAACAGTCTACCGAAAATCTACACATACGGACCAGATCCTCAACTACGGCAGCAATCATTCTGCAGCCCACAAACGCAGCTGCGTGCAAACCCTTTTCAAACGAGCACAAACCCACTGTAGCACACCGCAGCTGAGACGGGCAGAAGAAGATCACCTCTTCAACCTGTTCAAGCGGAACTCGTACCCAAAAGGCTTCATTCTACGCTGCCTCGCATCACAAAAGGTTACTCAACACACCTCGACAAATGTACCAGCTGAAAAGAGAACAACACTTCCCTATATCAACGGTATCTCTGAAATGGCAGCGAGGCTCTTATTGCCTTTTGGAGTCAAAGTTGCACACCAGCCAACGGAAACCATTCGCAGTAAACTCTTCAAGGTGAAGGATAAACTTAGCAAAGAAGAAGAAACTGGTGTGCTTTATAAGATCTGCTGTCGGAACTGCGACAAATATTACGTGGGACAGATTGGGAGAACGCTTGGCACAAGGCTACACGAACACAGCCTAGCCATACGTCGCCACGATCAGAACTCCCTGATGTCAGTGCACATGGATGCTGAGAACCATCAATTCGACCTAGAGCATACCAGCATCCTCGGAAGGGCTAAAAGCCGGCATGCACGTGAGTTCATTGAAGCCTGGCATTCAAAGCAGAACTCGATCAATAAGCACTTTGACATTGAAATCGCTTACGAGGCACTGCGAACCACGCATCTGAAGCCGCACTGATGATGTTGCCTAGTCAGGCAATGAAACGTCTGCACAATAATTATTCAGCTCGGAGAACCGCTCAAAATCCGCATTCACACCCCTAGCTACGCATATTCTCATTTATTTCAAAGCAGTGCCACAGACTGGCGCGGACCATGGAGTCGAAGGCGGCTTTCAACTCAACGACGACCAACGTAGTCAGTCGTCTGTGTGTATGTCTTTGTTCTAAAACTTGACGAAGATTAAATGTGGACGATACAACCACCACTAGGGAGGAAGCTAGTCTTCTTTTAATGATTCGGTTCTCAGGGGGACCAGTAAGTCGTCTGGAAATGATACCCTTGTGAAGTTTGCATGCAACGGAAACAAGGACAATGGCTCGATGATCTTCGCACAAAGTGCGCTGACCTTTCTTGAACATGGGCACGACAGTTAACAGTCGCTAGTCCGAAGACACCTCTTTAGTGTTGCAAATCGTGTTAAACATTGCAGCAAGTGCAATCCACAAAGTCACCTGCACCTTTCTGAAAGATGAAGGAAGGTCTTCGGAACCAGGTGCCTTTTTTGGTTTTATAACGGAAGCTCGTATTGAATCTCTTTCAACTGGGAGGTGCAACATCTATTTCTCTCATCGGCTCAGGCGGTTGGGCGATTGGCAGTTTCACAGCAGGCCTGCTGAACTGCTCCTCAAATTGTTCCACGCGGCGGGCTAGTCTTCGATACTGAGAGTAATTCATCTGTCCGTCTTTCTCAGCTGCTGTCTTTCTTACTGATGGTTTCTCGCCCCTGTGTTCCCAATTAGCTGGAATAGCACACGACCGTTCCCATTGTTACTGGTTTCCTCATCTCATGAGCCCTAGCCTTCCACCAACGTTCCCGGTCAACTCAACGTTTTTTGGTCAGGCGCCGTTTCAAGGTGTTACGGGCACGGTGAAATTCATTGCCCATCGCAACTTGTTTTCGTACTTCGACCAAACTGATCGATGCCTAAGAGATCCATTCACAGTGATGATGTCTCAAGTTGGGTTCACAGCAGGCGTCAAAGACATTCTTCATGGCACATTTGACACTATCCCAGTCAGCGTTCGGCTCACCAACCTCATTCATCACTGACATTTTGTGGGCCAGTTTGTCATGCTATTGTTGAACCGTAGGCTGTAGTTCATGTTGCAGATAAGTAGGTTACAAGTTAGGCGCTTCTTTGAAGTGGTAAGAGGGCGCGCATTAGAGCATTGTCAGAATCCAGGCACGTGCTTCCAATTGACCGACAGTCTTGGACTGATGTGTACCATCTGTAGCTGATATCAGTGTGGTCAATTTGCATATTTGTCATTAAGGAAATCGGTGGGCGCAAGGTGACGCGATGTGAACTTTTGCACTGGAAAGCAGTGCTGATATGTTAAGGTTGTGGTCGGTGCACAGTTGCAACAATCGATCACCATTATCTGTTCGGCGTGCATCGACTCCGAAGCGGCCGCCAAAGTGTTGTTCTTAGGCTGAAAGACGATCTACTGGGGCATTGTCACCAGCAACAGTCAAGGTGTGAGAAGATTGTTCTGTTCTCCGAGCTAGGCAATTTGGTTGCAGACGTTTCGTTGCCAAACTAAGCAACATCCTCAGTGCGGCTATAGAGGTATGATTTGCAGAGTCTCGTAAGCCACTGCCAGATCAAAGTGACTATTGATCGTCTCCTGCTTTGAATGTATCTTCGATTGCATCCCGTGAGTCGGCCAAGTGGCCACCTCTACGCCCTGTCGATCTGGTGTTTATTTTCGACCTCACCTACAGAGCTTCGTAGACCCCTTCGAGTTTTAGATGCTTGTTGATTGAGTTCTGGCCCGAATGCCAGACATCGAGGAACTCACGCGCTCTGGGGTTCTTTGATCTTCCAACTATCTTGGCATTCACCACATTGAACTGATGGCCTTCGGCATCCATATGTACTGACAGTGATTTTTCATCATGGGGCGGATGGCCAGACTGTGTTCATGCAGTCTTGTGCCAAGTTTCCTCCCTATCTGGCCCACGTAGTACTTGTCACAATTTTTGCAGAAAATTTTGTAAACCACACTTGATGTTTTTTCTCTACACACTTTGTCTTTTGCCCTGAAAACTACTCCGAATGGTTTCCATTGCTTCATGTGCAACCTTGATTCCATGAGCCAGTAAAAGCCTCGCTGCCTTCTCAGAAACCCCATGGATGTAAGGTAGAACGAATGTTTTCCTTTCCGTTCGCTTGCGGAAGCGGGCGGTGGTTGATTTTTCATCTTCAGGTAACGTAGAATAAAACGTTTAAGGTACGAATTCCGCTGGAACATGTTAGTTAGGTGGTCTTCCTCCGCTTTCCCTAGCTGCAGCGTGCTACCGTGTGTTTGGGGCCGCTTGAAAAATGTCCTCACACAACTGCGCTTGTAATTGGCCGGATGGTTACTGCGATAGTTTAAGATCTGATCAGTGTGCATCGCTTTTCGATAGGCGGTTGTTTCCAAATTGTCAGTATTCTTCGCTGTCAGAAGTATTGATGAAAGCCGTTGATGAACATCGTCCTTCATACCTTCTGAACTGCATTCTATAGGGGCATGAACTGAGGCGACGAAAATACACATTTTCTTCGGACGCTGCTTATTAACAATATAGGTTCGAAGTCGAATCTCACATATGCGGCTGTTCACCGGTATCCTGTCGAGAAGATTGCCTCCAGCATGTTTGCGGGGGGCAACACCAGCAGTGTAGATACCTTGAGCCATTGTGTTGGGATTACCAGAGGTGCGAAGAGTGTATTGTTGTCAGATTCAAAACCAAAAAGTCGAGGATTGGTCACGACGCTGTTATCTTTTATGTGTGTTTCGGAGACACAGCACACCATACCGAGAGAGGGAAGAGTAAAAGTCAGTGCGGCCTGCTGGCCGATCTGACCTAGAGTGCGGACATTAAGAGAACCAATGTGAAATGAAACTAGGCTTGATGGAAGTGTTGCATTTACCGATGACAGCAGCTGCGATATCAGCGGCAGTTTCTTCTTCACTAGACGGGAAAGAAGAGAGGGGAGAGGAGAGGGGAAAACAAGAAGACAAAGTATTGTTGACGTGGTCATTGGTAACTTTTCGACCTCTATTTCCGAACCAGGCCTGATGTTGTTCCTTTATCCTTTCGGATAACTGCCTTTTCATACAACAAACCCCCTGATCTACAGAAACAGGTGAACGAGTAAACACACATAGATTTGGTGTGGACCGGGAGCTTATCTTCGAGGTTTAGTCTCCTCATTGGGCTGCTTGTGAACTGGGATTTTACCCTAGCCACCCGGATGTCTCTCCTTAGTATGTGAGTAAGGCGGCGGGATAATGTCTCCGCCACCATTCTCCTTTGTACGGCAGTTGTAAGAAGATAGCTTTCCGTTCCACTGCTTGGACTGCAGGTAACTCTTATTAACAAAATTTTCTGGGTAACCATATCCGTTCAGCGTCGAACTTATGCGCTGTAACTTCGTATAGAGTATCTTTTGAGCGTATTCTTCCGGTTCGACACACTACGATATGGACCAAATTTCGCATAAGCCTAAGTGGCGAAAGATGCGAAATTCGTGTAGTGCCCACTTCAAGCGCAATTTCTGTACACGCGGCGTTGCAACACACCACCGTCTAGTCTCCAGGGCTACATCCAAAATGAAAAGCACCGTTATCTTTTAGTTCGTAGCCAGACTATATCGCCTTGTGAGCCTGTTTAACTAAGTCGGTAAGCTCCTCAATGTTTCCAGAGGCGTAAAGTAGAATGACAAAATCATCTACGTAACGCTGGCGTAGGTTAAGGCTGCTAATGGCCGTTTTCAATCTATCCTCTTACAGCATGCCCATTTAAATGTCAACAAGTAATAGGCCAAGTGTGTGTGCCATTTTTCCAGCACGCTGTCCCACGATTATCCAATTATCCGTTTATCCAGTTCACTCTAAACTCGCGTTCTTCGGAATTGTTGTTTCCCCATTATTAGTTCTCTTCTATATTTAGTCATGTTTGCTGTAATCCTCTTTTATATTTCATTTCAGGCCGTGGAATTTCTGTCTGAGTGGACCATCTATCCAGAGAATGAAGTATTTCAGCGGATACACGCAGGAATAATTGATCCAGCTTTGATTGGGGACAAAGCTAAATGGTTCGCGTCCACTCTACCACGGATCCATTTCGATGTATGGTCTGAGGATTGGTGTCAATTGCTAAGTTTGGCTATCAAACCGGCGGACATTGCTCTTCCTTATGTTTCTTCACTTTTCATGGATTCTGGTAAGCCATCAAAAGCTTTCATTGTATGTTCATTTACATCGAAATTTTTTAAATGCATGCTTATATCCTCTCCATGCATTCGCTGTTGACGTTCCGCAACTTATCACCATCCTTAATTATCTCGCCTAAATAAATAACTATTTTTCATTACATGTCTGCGAAGCATTTCTTGTTAAAAGCAGATCATCAAATGGTACTTGTTTTGGTTAATGAGCAGACATCGATAAAGAAAATGTGTGTGATACCACTGATGCCAGGATTGCACCATTCCCAATAATAACAGTCGTTTGCTTTGCTCTCGCATGTCTTCCAATGGGTCGGGTTTAAACTTACGGCTGACAAATGATAATCGCCAAAACTACCGTTGTTTTTGTAAAGAGCCAACTATGTAGTCCTCGAACAGTCCATACCTTGGACCTTCTCATCCTTACCGTGTGAAAACTCGCAGCGTTACCCATGATTCTGCAGTTCTTTAACTCTAAGCTGTTAAACGACATCTGAACGTTTAATCCCCCTACGTTGTTCCATCATCTAGACTCTCTCAAGTCTCTGGCGCTTGCTGACCCTTCTTCTTTCTATCATCCTCCATTGACTCTGGACGACCAACTTAGTGGAGCAGTACTCCCAAAACGCCCTGTCCACTACCGGAAAAAGACCAGGCCGAATGATCTGGTTGAAGGGGGACAAGTGGATCAAACGGAGCGCTTTGTCGATTCCAAAGCATTAGCCCCTCAAGCCACCATAGACCTTGGACCTGCTTCTCTCGATTCCTCGGATACCGCTTCCTCGGAGCTGGTAAGAGCAGTGTTTCTTTGATGTCTCCAAACCTACTTTTTCTGCTACTGGAAACACCTGGTTTTCTGTAATATTCCTCCAGGTTTACCTGTATTTTCCAGACCTCCGTCTTCTGGGTTCACTACGTGCTTGCGCCCAATGTGTCTTTATCCACGTCTTATGTTGGTAGCCGGTGCCATTTGTTTCTCTATCTCCACCCAAAACACTACCTTATTTGTTTACTTCTCCAAGCTGCCTTACTGCCCTTGCACATTCGAGATTCAGTTAATGTGCAGTCTACTTAGGTGTCTTTTCATCATCATTATCTTGCATCTTCTCGTGCGAATGGGTCCGACACAGATTACCTTGCTTTTTTGTTGAGCCTTGTTGTGACCTTCCTGTATTCGGATTGATGAACCCATGGCCACCCTGTCTATTTATCTGTATAGGGTTCCGTTAAGCGTGTAACGAATGTTTCCTGGTCTTGTGAACTACCATTGTCGACGTTGCACAACTAGATTAACTCACACAGATAGTCCTTGGTCTCGTGCATTGAAACATTGGTGAACAGGGACACCACATCTAACGAGAACTTTTCTGCCCGACTGGTTCAAGTTGTCATACTGAGTCAAGCAAATCAAAAATGTCTCACTACGGTTTTTCTGACTGGTTCCCGCCGTTTGATACTGGTTACTATGTCCACTCTGCTACTTTTGTTCCAATAATTTAGCAACGAAATTTCTTCCATTTCCTAACGGAGAGAGCGAGGAGAAAATACACTGAGATGAACTGAGGTTTGTTCAAAGCGTATTCGAGCGCTACATCGAGACTAAATTTTACTGGATGCACTGAAAAATTCACGTAAAAGCGCATGAAACCGCAAGTACCGCTGAAAAGTAGTTCACATACTTATCGTAACCGTTTATGGGTGTCACGAATGCGGGACGGATCACCCGAAGGCGTTCCACAGCCACAATGAGAACGTGCTTTGCAGCCGATCTGCGCTTAAACTTCACCTCAATACCGTTTCCACGCGAGCAACTTAAGGGCAGAATATTTTGGTCGCGGCTGTCTATTAGAATTTGAGCATTGCCCAGCTTGGCTCTACAGTGGGGTTAGAAAGAATGTAACCAGTGCACTGTTACACACGAGCGGTCGTATGTCGGCAACAGAAGCGATTGCGATTCTGCTCTATAACCCGGACATGTGTGTACAGGAAAAATTCGTCCAAACTCTCACATTACCTTGGCCACAGGCCAGCACGACTACCAGTGGCGATCACGCCATTTCACCCTACCTCACATCAACTAGAGCAATCAAGTGGAGATATAGATTAGTCACTTATTGAATAGTTCACTTCGTTTAAATTTCATGTGTCCATTTTGGTCTGCTTAGTTGTGGTTGTACTAAGCTGATGAACCACTGAAACGGTGATTGTTCGCTACCCGTTATTTCCGATCTTTTCTCCGGACTGAAAGCGGTAAAAAGAAAAAATCTATTTATCTCTGAGGACCTATTTGTCTCTAAACATGAGCTGATGCGGTGATGGCCTGCTTGCTGTTATGTCATACCGGCACAAGGCCTACTGGGGCGTGGAAGTGCAGATGAAACCTTTCGAGAGACTATTCCGCATTGAAGCAGGTCCGAAGATGTTTTCACCGATAGTAGTATTAATCACTTGAACTGTTAGCAGTAACTACTTTCATATTACCCTTAACTTCCTATCCTTTTTAACATATTTAACTGATCGAACACTCCGAGAAGTTATCTTGGAACTGTTTTGGAAAGCTTGAAAAATTATCTGTTCTTTGCGATCCTTTTGGACTCTATCTCACACAATCGAAGTATCAACCACCGATTATAATTGAAATGTGGATTGTTTGGTAGATTACAATGAGTTGGTGTGAGTTGTGTTGCCAAAACGGGACCCTACTCAAACGGTCATTTTCGCATCGCACTTTCGCAAAATCTTTTTTCCATTTATTGTTTAATGAGTGTTTAAATCTAGCACCACTGCTGCGAAGTCATCCTACCATTAAAGCAGCACTGCCTGTCAGCTAGTTGTGGTGTGACACATTTCGGCCCCAAACACTGAGCGCCAGTTGCTTGTATGTGATTATGGTAATAGTAATTGGTATATTGTCAACGAGGTAAGGCACGGACTAGCAAGATTTATGCGATCATTAGGTGACACAGAATGATGTGACTATATAGAAGGAAGGTACGAAAGATAGAGCCAATTTCCCTAATAATAAATAGACAACTTGTACGAGAACGAGTTAGGTACACATCTCATCATCAAACTTTCCTTCACATCCCTAGCCGCACTGTTGTATTGTGTTTTACAAGTACTCGTACTATTAGGCTCGTTCTCTCACACCCTTTCATCTGTGCAATCAACGCAAAAGTTCCTTAATATTATTAACACCCAAATACTTTTTTGTTGTATCTCAAATGTCCGAACTGATGACCTCATGGCCTGAAGCAATCGATTCAGTGGTATGGGATATTTGAACGTAGAGATGCTGCATCGTGTGCGGTGACGAACTATTTTTTCACGTAGTCTTTACTTTTAGGTTATGCGGCAAAAATTCTTGGAGTACCGGCTTATGGTAACTGATGTGTCAGTGGATAGACAATTTTGTACAACAGCAGATTCAGCTTTAATCTTCGAAGCCATAGCCCTCGATGCCATTATTGCTAGGCGTTCTACGTGAAGCTGTCGAAGGCCGTTTGAACATCTAATTGAAGTACACTACAGGCCTTGCCAGAATCTATCCATTGCGTTTTGTGATCCAATAAATCTAGTTGGCAAGTGCACTTGAACGCTTTTGGAGAGCTCCGTACTGTACATCTGGCAAATGATTGTTTTGCTGTTAAGAATTTAACATTGCATTTTTAAGTAAGCGCTTTATAATACTGAGTTATAGCAAGGTGATATATGAACCGATACTTTTGACTTCATGTTTCCGCCAGGTTTTGTGGCGGAGTTTCACTGTTGTCACTTTCCAATGATTGTGATAAAACCCCGCGGCACAATAGCTTAGGTGTTTCCCACCTCCAGCTAATGTGTATAATGATGAGTAATGACAGTTGTCATTGATTTGGTAACAATGTTTTGTAGTCAGCAGGGGACATCATTCCCACCGTAATTTAGAAGATCTGTAGGGATTCCATCTGAATCTGTTTGCAATGTAAACTTTAGAGTATTAATCTTACGCTTGATAGAACTAGTGTCAACATCTATGTTAGGGGTACATGGCCTACAGTATTATATATATATATATATATATATATATATATATATATATATATATATATATATATATATATATATATATGATTTGGCGGCGTCCGTATCCGGATTTGCCTGTCACTGTGACGTCCATGGGGACAGTCACAGGACGCCTGCGCCTACAAAGGGGACCATGGGTGGCTTGCGCTGCACCACCCATAGTTCCACCCACACACCCCATATCCGGTGTAAACCCGAAGCAATAAGACCGGGAGGCATGCGGATGGGAACCACGTTTCATCAACGGAGCCGGCCCACACTCCTTCAACAAGCAGAACGGAAGCATTCCGGCCTAATTGGGAAATCATACACACCAGACTTACACGAGGCGGTGGCTGGACCGTAGCCCGTTCCACACAGGATGGAACCACTCTTTAAGTCTAGCACCGTCACGAGGACGGTGCACTCCGTCCCCTCCAGCGACGACCAACTGTCTCCTGGAGCCAGTATGGACGAGGTAGTGGGTAATAGACAGGTAGGCACCTTGTCAACATTCATATCAAGCGCATCCACACCGAGGAGCTCAAGCAATATCTATTTCTGAAATGCAAGATTACTCAGCACGCAAGCAAACGTACCACATACGATGCCTTATTGGCCTGGATTAGTAAATCGAATGGGAGCGTACGTATCATGCTTCTATTCCTGCACCTGAGCATCCGCCCTTATGATCAATCCACGGAGTTCGCATCGATCAAATTTGCCTTGCATTCGCAACACCTGAAATCAACATGAGTTTGTCATAAACTCACCTTCTTCATGTTCTGGTACGGTTATTTCCGGTTTGCTCGATTGCCGTTTCCCTGCACTAAGTGAACCGTACAAAAGCGGTATGAGTATCCTCGTGGAATTCATTCGGTATACATATAAACATAGATTGGTGTCATCTGTATCCAATGGTACTTCGAATACAACATATGCACATGTGTTTCCACGGACTTCATTATTAACTGTCACAAACCTTACAGAGACACATTAGTTCGCATGAACAAGCATGTATGGGTTTCATTTTGAGGTCAGGCTAAGAGTTACTTGCACAGGCATGAGATTAAGTACCCAATACGTACTGTTGGTGTTCACCTCTGACGGCCTATTTGGCACGACAACTACCATAGTACTGCAACAACTAAGTCCCACTGGCCACTGTCAAACTTGCGGTTTTCCAAACAATGTTCGCACTGTGTTGCAAATATCCAAGATGTAGCATGGTTGTCATCCAAGTACTCATCCGTTTATACATACCGTTGTGTATCCTGTTGTGGCTATAAACTGCTTGGTTACGATCTACTTTAGTACGCCTGGGGTGCAGCTATTCGGTGCTCGTAAAGTGAACAAATTTTCCCTATGCTCTGATTCCTTTCCCATGTAATTTACTAAGACACTTACGTACCATTTCCGTTGGCATTAGCTTTTTCTTAGTCTACCCAGAAGATTGACCCCGTCTAAGACAACTTCTAGTAGGTGCCTCTTAGACAGATGCAATAATGCTACTGCGTTGCACCAAGTCCCTACTTCATCATTCCACATAGCAATTGCACCCAAGCTATACTTACATTAGCAATGGAATAAGGATGACAGACCGTGTGAGTAGGCAACTATGCAGGTTTGTAGGGAAATGGTGCGCTGAAGTCAACTTATTTTCATAAGCTCAGCTAAGATAAGGTTGTCAGATGAAGAACGGGAATTATAGCTCTAATCATTCTGACAGATTTAATGTGAAACCTAG